GTCTCCACACTTCCACTTAGGGGACACGGGTTCGATCCCTGGTCAGGTATATCCCGCATACCACATGGCAAGGCCATAAAATAAATAAAATCACTCTCTTAAAAAAATATAAATAAAAATAGGAAAAAAGAAAGAACTAAGTGATAGCTGAACTGGGCAAAATTCAAAGTCAGCCTACCGTCCATGCAAACTGGGACTAGGAATGATCTCCTCTCAACTGGGGCATTACCAACTAGGATCTCAGAATATCAAGGTTCACAGAATCAAACAAGTTCTAAACAATCTGGTTAAATATGATGTATAAGGGCTTCTCCCCACTGAGTCACTCAAGTCAAGACCAAAAAAAAAAAGACTTCTTCTCAAACCGGGACAAGAAAAATTACACCTGAAAACCCTAGGGGATTGATCTACAGAGAGCAAACCCTGTATCTCTGAACAGGCACCATTCCGGGCAGTTCCCTGCTGCCGGTTTTATGACATCTTCACTTCTCCTCCCTCTCCCAGAGGCCTACACTGAGGAAGCTGTAAAAGCCTGGGCAAACACAGCCATTTGCTAAGAGAAAAAGCAATGTGGGGCCCATCTGTACTTTACGAGGGCTTGGCTCGTCTGTCTTTGCATGTCACCATTTACAGAGCAGCCCACCTCACTCAGAGACCGGGCCACTGCTGGAGGCCTTGGCTGGACTTTCAGTATCTTTCTAGAGAAAACTTGTTTTTTTCCCTTCTTTGGAAAGAGTCAAAAGGAAGTTCGACAGGGGCTGACCAATGTCCTTCCCCAGGCTGGACAACCAGCCCCTCCTTCATGGCCACCATATGGAACTGTACTGGACAAGCAGGCCTCCAAGGGCAGCCTGGGCTCCTCACCGCCCAGCAAAAGGCCTGCCACACAGCAGGCCTGCAACAAACACTGAGGAAGTGAACCTCTTGTCTGACAGCAACCCCAAAACAGAACAGTAAGGGGGGTGGGGAGAAAACCCTGAAATCATTATCCAGCCCCGGATCCACTGTTCACATTCTTGATCTCGTGATAAGTAAGGGAAAATATCATGATGTGTCTTCGAACCACAGAAGATTTCCATGGAATTCAAGAAGTCCCGTTAGCAGGTCTAATTTTATGTAGAGTTTAGGAGGGGAGCATACTGGTGGCAAACAGAGGTGGCGGGCAGTGTAAGAAAACTGAACAAGGCCCCTATTCTGCTTGGCACAGGTGCTGGTAACAGGACACCCTTGTCTAAAGTGAGACGTGGGGTGGGGAATTCAAGGTGGGGTTGGGTATTCTTTCACCCCCAGTCACATTATATAACCCCAAACACACTCTCCAGCCCAGTACAAAGTTCTCCCTGCATTCGGGCCCCACACAGCTCCTAACATGCTGACTCTTGAGCAACAAAGCAGAGGAAAATATGTGATTTTAGCATCCAACTTCTTGTTTTTTTAACTAAGTTAATTATTAAAAGAAGACAGACATCAACAGGGTGAACTGACCTCAAGTTTGGCCAGGGTCTCCTGGTCTTAGAAGCTCTCCAAACATCACTGAATTCTACATGCCGGTTCAATTACTTAACTAAAAAGATTTTCAAATACAAATCTCAGATCAGTATGTTGTACACCTGAAACTAATGTTATGTGCCACAGCTCAATTTTAAGGAAAGTAATGGCACAGATGTGCTGTTTGAAGCATTAGCTTTGTTTCTTGGGACTTGGAGAGAAATTCCAAAAAGATTTCAGGATCAACCAATGTAGTCGACAGGGTTGAAACACCAGAAGTCAGTCATCTGGTCTTCCACAGTCGCTTCCAAGCTACAGTTCCCCTAGATGAACCGCCGATGAGCCCATGCCTCCAGCCACATGAATCCTGTCTCTCCTTCCCTCTGGGACCAGCTCACATCAGACGACTTGATTTATGTGGAAAGGCAGCCAGTAAGCGATTTTGCACACTACCATTCATTAGTGGCCACCAGAGTAGGGTGGAAGAAAGGGAAAAAACACAAGGTTTCCTCTCAAGGAATCAATAAGTTATTTAACAGCTGCTGTGGGATCCCAGTGGAAGAAAACTAAGGGTTTCTTCACTGCTCCCATCCCCCTGAAAAGGATAAACCACACACCCTGACAGCCCAGGACTTAGCCAGATGAAGGATTGTTAGAAGAAAACAGAAAGAATCCTCCCCAGCTTTTCCATGTCTTGAGGTTCTTTGGTTTGGGAAGATGGATGGGGTAAGCCTTGAAATTACTCCATTTTCTGTTGTTTTCTTTTTGTTTTTTCCTCCAAAGAGGAAATTGACTCCCTTCCTGTGTTGCTGTCCATTTTGGAGAATCAAATGTTACTTTAAAACAAAAATTTTTTTCCTTACTCTTTCCTCACCCACTTCAACATCACTTCTGAGAAAATAACCTAAAAATGTTCTCAAGATGGCATTCCAAATGAGCTTCCAAAACGTACATGTGTCCTTCACAGAAAACAGAAAGGGGACCACAAGCGTTGTAAACCTATCGTGGGAGTTCAAGAAAAAAGGAGGATAAGCAGGTCCTTAGAAAGACAGCCCACTTCAGATATTAAACAGTGATTTTTATTGCTGACAACTTCGTGCATAAGCATACCACACAACGCTACACGCCCAAATTTTAAAATTTCCCTTTAAAATGTCACTGCCTTCTAATCCACGAAGAAGTCTTTTCCAAAGAAAACTCCATGAAAAACACTCTGCAACTGTCTTAGGCATAAACACTCATGGAAATTAGACACCCCCCTTTTTCCCTTATTTCTCTACTCCCCAAAAGTCTGAAATTCTGCAGATCTCAAGGCATGTTTTCATCTTCCACTCCACTTCACTTCGAAAACCTTTGACTGCCAAAACAAAATAAACCTTTAAAATAAATGCCTTCCCAACAGGATGTTGAACAAACCTGACTCAATTCAGAGAAAGAGCGGAGGAACCGTAAACTACAGATCCAGCACTCAAAGGGTATTAAGTAAGTCTTTATTTTTAACTGGAATCTTGTGGAAGAAGTTCACCACCTTAGCACCCACAAATTGGCCTCCCCGGCCAGAAAGTACTGCAGGGCAGCCAGGAGACACCAGGTGGAAAGCATGGGCGCCCGCCCTGAAGTGGGTTACTTTCTGAAGGGCTTTGGGTTTCAACCCATAAGAACGGAGCCTGGATTCTGGATTAATGAACAAAGAGGAGAAAAAAATCAGATGTGAACATACTGAGACTGCAGTGGGGACATGGGTCAGGTCACTGGGCCTTTATTATACAGAGGGACTAGAAACACCCATTTCTCTCCTCCAGAACACACAGGCAGTTCTCCCAACCCATCTCAAATTCTTCCCCTGGTGATCAGAATCCCCATGTGCCTCCAACCAAATCTTGTTTGATTACAAGGCCTGTAGATTTCACTTAACAAGAAATATCCCAGAGTCTACCGAGGGAACCAAGCTTTGTCTCAATTATTCAATGGGGGCTGGGGGCAAAGGAATGAAAGGGCTGTCTTTTAACAGGACATAATCCATCTAATTCCAAGGGGCTGGATTAGAGGCATTCCTGAGCAAGCAGGGTCGCTGAACAGAATGCTCCACGAATGTCAATTTCTGACAAAAGGCACAGGCTCTGCAGGAGGATTTCAAAATGGATCAGACCAGGACGCAGGCACCTTGGCAAAGTTCACCCTGGCTGAGTGGCAGTTGGCGCTAAGAGGGGAAAACAGGCCATGACAGCTGAGCATTCCTTCCCAAAGTCCGTCTCCCAGTCCTCTCCAAACCTTACATTTCAACAGACAAAAGCACCTCCAGGCGCGCAGGCAGCGGCTGAAGAGGGGCTGTCCACACCCACTCGCTGCACAGCTTTCCAAACCTGCCCACTCGTTTTGGAAGCCGAGCTTTTAATTAAACACCACCTCCCCGGATCCGTTGAGGCAAACTGGGGCTGGGCTAGAGCCAAAGAGAAGCTCCCTAAATACACATGAAAAAAAAAAAAAATTCCCCCCACCGCCCCCAATTCCCACCTCCAGCCAGCTCGTGCGGCTGGTTATATTTCCTTTAGATTAGTAACACAGGGCCCTGGTCTATCTCTATGCACAGAAAATCCACATTCAAGGATCAGGTTATCCCCAGTCCCACCCTTCGCAGGAAAAAGCCTGGGTGTTGTTCCCCGCCCCCATCACACACACTCCCGCGCGCGCGCGCGCGGACACACACACACACACACACACACACACACACACACACACACACTTCACAATCCTTCCAAGAGAAAACCTGGTGTCTGTGCGTGTTAGGCGGGTGGGGGATACAGTTGTTTAAGGTGCCCCAGTCCCGCCTTCGGGCTGGGAGCCTCAGTCTGGGGAGGTGGGGTCCCCCGCAAGACTGCTCTGGGAACTTCTGCTCCACGCCCCAGGGGAGGGCCGAGGGGAGGCACGCAAACCCTTACCAGCTTTGGAAGAGCCTAATTAATACCTAATTTGCTCAGATCGCCCCCAGGTGGACCTGAAAGCCCACGAGGGAGAGGGAGGTCTTCCTCCCAGTCTCTCGGGCTGGGGGGCTCCTTCCCACAGCTGGGCAGAGCCCCTTCCCTCTCCCCACCACCGCGCCAGGCGCCCCCTCCCGTACCCCGGGGAATCAGGTGTCCGCCCAAGCATCCACCCCCTGCGGGTCGCAGACACTCAGACCAGCGACAGACAATGGAAAACTTGGAGCCAGGGCCCCGGGCCCCCAGGGAAATAAGATGATGCGGTCCCCTGGGACAATGGGCGGGCGAGGGCAGCGACCATCAGATACCATTCCCCACCCCCACCACCACCTAGAGAAGCCGCCCGCTCAGTGACCCAGCAGAACCCGGAGCGGCGCCCCGGGTGAGCAGGTGACACCCGGGCCGGAGCGCTCTCGCAGGTGGCCGGCGGCCACGGCGCAGGCAAGGGCCGGGCGGCTGGCCCGGGGCGGAGGCGAAGCCGTGCAGCGAGGTCAGAGCGTAGCGGCGGCCGCAGCCGCTCACCCAGCGTCCTACCTTCATGTCGCTAATGATGGTCTGGAAGAGGCCTCCGAGCGCGCTGCATTCCTTCTCAATCACAGCCTCCATTTTCCCGGCGCGGGCAGGGGCAGGACACACACTCGGAGCCGCCTGGACTGTGTGCGGGGCCGGGGATCGCTCACCCCGGGAGGAATTTCACCCTCTGAGTGACCCACCTCCGACTCGCAGCCTCTTCTGCAAAGAGGACGAAATGCCCGAGATCGACTGTTCTCTGCCCAAAATAATACTAAAAATTTTAAAAAGCCAAACCGCTCTGTAGGGCGCCTACAGGCAGCACTCAGCTCCTGGCCTTAAAAATGCCCGGAGAAGACTGACAATCAGGCCACCACTGGTGCCCACGACAGAAAAGGCAAAGCCCATCTTGAAGCAGAGAAAATCGCCCGCTGACCCGGGGCCACCGCCATTTCAAAATGCAAAATTTTCTAATTTAACCGATGTTTCTGAAATAAAACAAAAAAATAATCGCCCAAGAGCAGAGTGGGTCTGCTCGCGGAGCCCTGATCTGTTGCTCGCAGCCGCGGCCGCCGCCTCCTTTTCTGTCCTGCGCGCCCAGCCCCGGCGCTCGCTACAGCTCGGCTCCTGGGGGACGTTCGCAGGGGCGCACGCGCGCTCGCGGCCTTGCGTCCGCGCGGAGGCGCGGGGAGGGCGCGCGCACGGGGCCGCGCGGCCGCTGCACGCGGGCGGGGCTGGGAGCGCGTGCCCGGGAGGCGCGTGGGGCGCCGGCCGCAGAGAAGAGCCGGCAGGCGCGCGGACGGTGCGGAGAAGATCCAACCCCCGCGGGAGCCTCCTCCGCCAAGCACCCGCCCCCCGCTTCCCCTGGGCCGCGGGTCGCAGAGTCGAGAGGGAGTGTCAGCACGCGGCTGGTCTAGCGCCCACACCGCAATGGCTGCGAGCGCCCGGCACGGAGGTTGCAGCCGCCGGCCCCGGGGACTTGCGCGGTGGCAAGATTAGCGCAGTACCTTGCAACTAGGGAGCGCTCGGTAGGGCGGGAAAACTGCCGCTACTGCTGTTGCTGCTGCAGGCTTCCAAGAGGCCCGTTCTCTGCTAGCAGGACTGCAGAGCCAAGTCACGATTGCAAGCAGCCAAATACGTAATTAGGGAGAGTTCGGGGGCGTATCCTGCAGCGAGATGCAGAGTTCAATAAATTGCAGGATTATGGAAAAGTAGATTGATTTTGCCATTGCAAAATAAATGGCATTGCGCTTCTGTGTCCTGCTCATCAGTTTATGGAGATTGTTGGCTGCCCCTGACTTGGTCTGTGGTTTTTCAGACGCTCTGAGGACATCCGGGTGGTGGTGTCACTGCAGAGAGCCCCGCTGGGAGTTTTAACCTGGAAACAGCACCATTGGACTCAGGTTGATTTGGGAGCTGGTGGTTTGTTTTCCCAGCTCCACCGCCTAACCACGCATCCAGTTCTGTCATTTAGATCAACACCAAATAGACAAGGAGGAGGGGAGACAAATTAGTAGCTTTGCAAAGATCTGAAAACAAGCCCCCAACTCTGGGCTGTTCCCTTGACTCTTGAGCTGCTCCTTTGAAGCACAAATGAGGAGAAAAAGAAAATAGGTGGGAGAGGGTAACAAAAGGAACTATGTGCAAAATGCTGTACAGGCTCCTATCAGACTCAAATAGGAAAAGATCTGGCTTTGAAAACTGCATGAACCAAAGCGATGCATGGAGCTGAATATCACAGCTGTAGAAGATAATTTTCCTCTGGGCCACCCTGCCCCATTCTTAGTCGTCATCTCCCTCTCTCCACCCCTGTTCCCCAAGTCATGAGTGCTACTGCTAGAATTAACTCATCTCTTGGGCAACCCCCTGGATCCTGTCCCCAAGGTCACTTGGATGCATAACTCTCATCTTTACCTTGTCAATAACCTTGACACATAGTTTGCTTTTGATCATTATCATTATTATGATTTTAATATTATTAGTATTATAGTGATCAGAATCACTGATTGTAGGGCCAGATTTCCTGGGTTCAAACTCCAGGTGAAAACCTATAGGTGGTATGAGCTTTGGCCATACCAAATGGGCCTCAGTTTCTTCACCTGCAAATGGGGATAAAGGGAGTGTCAACCTCATAGGCCTGTTCCGAGTTTTACCTGCACTATTACACATAAAGCATTTAGACTAGTTCCTGGCCTACAGTAAATAAGCACTCAGTAAATATCATCAACAGAAATAGATTCACTGCAGCACTGTTCACAATAGCCAAGATGTGGGAACAGCCTAAATGTCCATGGCAGTTAAATGGATAAAGAAATGTATTCTATACACACAATGAAATATTAACCTTAAAAAGGAGGAAATCCCAGGATTTCCCTGACTCTACGCTGCCAGTGCAGGGGGGTGCATATTCAATCCCTGCTCGGGGAAATAAGATCCCACATACCTCGAGGCCAAAAGATAGATAAATAAACATTTTAAAAGAAGGAAATCCTGCATTATGGAACAACATGGATGAAACAGGACATTTCACTAAGTGACAAGACACAGCTAAGTCAGAGGACAAATACTGCGAGATTCCGCTCATATGAAGTGTGTAAACTTGTCAAGCTCATCACAGTGGAGAGATAAGAATGCTGGTCCCCAGGGGCCGGAGGGTGGGGGCATGGGGAGTTTCTAATCAATGATCATGAAATCTCAGCTACGCAGGACGAACAACTTCCAGAGGTCTGTTGCACAACACTGCTTATAATTAACCATGCCATATTGTACACTTTAAAATCTGTCAGGTGGATAGATCAAATGTGAAGTGTTCCTACCACAATGAAATAAACTTTGAAAACGTAGGGACCAGGGCAAGGTTGATTCTCACCCTGGTCCCAGAGTGCACGTAGCAAGCCTGTAATGTTGGCATGTTCCACTGACATGGCCGAGGGCCTACTGTATACAGTCTGGGTGTTTTACCTGTATTATATCTAATCATCACCGCAGCCTTGAGAAGAAGGTGGTCAATCAAACCTTTATTTTACTGTTGGAAAGTGGCAGGCAGGACTCCAGCTGTGGAGGTCTGACTCCCATGCCTGAGGGGTCTTTCTACCCAGTCTCCAGCCCTCCTGGGCTAGAGCCCCATGCCTAAGCCCAAGGACCCTGTGGCCGGCTTTCCTGCCACATGCCTGCATTTAGATGCCCCCAAAGCGCCAACTCTATCAGTATTTTCCAAAGCTCACCCCTTTTGCCTCCTTATTGTTTGGCTCTGTGCTAGCCTCAGATCTGAGAGGCAGGCCCTTGTCTTTCACAACTAAGTGAAGCATCCCAAATCACCTTGAGAGGGAGTCTGGGAGTTTCCACAAGGCAGGAAAGGCCTGGAGGTGAGATGACAACACTTGGCATTTTTAATAAGGTGAGTCTGAGAAACGGAGGTATTATGAGCAGGAAAATAACAAATCAGACTGTCACCCCCTACACGACATGCTTTCCCCCCTGTTTGAGCATCCCTCTAAGGTTTTCTCTCTTCAAAACACCCAACACTCAGTGAGTAGGCATCAAGATATTATTAACATGCAATTCATCCCAGGAGTATTTGCTTGTTTTTTAATAACTTTTAGGAGGAGGAACACAAAGTAATGAATCTACTGAAGGAATTTCAACTCCCCTGATCTTGGGAAGGAGAGTTGGGAAGGCAAGGAAGTCTTCCCCAAGCAGTGCCCATCACCCTCCTTGTGGACTGTGGACTAGGGTGTGCACCACCATCTCCTGGCTCTGTGACCTCGGGGATCCTATATGATCTCTGCAGTCAGCCTCTTGGGAGTTCCTAACCCATGGGCCTATTACCCTGTAATGCCTCACACCGCAGTTCTCTTCCCTCCCAGACGGGAGTCCTAGCCTTGGGTGCATGAGCTGCACAAGGGCCTGGTGTGGTTCTCAAACTTGGCAATTGACATGCCATGGGGGAATTTTAAAACACCTATGCTTGGGTTCCACTCCCACAGGAGCCTGATTTAACTGGTCTATGGCCTGGGCCTCAGGACTTTAATTTAAAATCTCCCAGACAAGTCTAATGTACAGCAAATTTAAGAACCCTGATCTAAGGAAATTGAACAGAAGATACCCATGCCCAGGTCCTACCTCTAAATAACTAAAGTAGAGTCGCTGGGGACTGGGATCCAGAATTTTTTTAATGTATCATACAGATTTCATTCCATATTCCTACAAGGACTTATAGGCACGTGTGTATGTGTGTATCTTGTCACTATTTGCCTTACATAAATGAGATCACATCACAAACACTCACACACAGGTTTCTGGATCTTGTAAGTAACAGTTTTATTAGCACCTCTTGCTATCAACAATTCCTGGAGAAATCCCTCCTGTTCAGCTAATATTGTCCTACTATGTTCTTTAGTTACTTTCACTTTTTGTTTTTTAAATTTTGATGAAACTTCAGAGGTACAGAAATAGTATAAGGAGAGTGCAGGGCTTCTCCATTACTCTTCATTAGAGTCCCCAGATGATAACCCATTATGGTATTTGCTCCAGGCCTCGGTGTGGTTTACAGCCTTCTCAGCTGATTCTAATGTGCGGCTAGATTGTGTGTGAGGCCCCTAGTTTGCTGCGAGACTTCAGGCAATGTTAATAAAATCCCTGATCCTCGTGAGGGGTCTTTGCATTAGAGGGAGCTGTGCGAGGTAGTTGAGCGGATAGGCTTAGAATCAGACTGCCTAGCTTTGAACTCTGGCTCATCCTCGTCGTTTCTGTGCCTAAGTTTCTTTATCTGTAAAACAGATCATGGAAATACAAGGTTTAAGGCTGTATGAGGCCTGAATGGCGTTCCTTAGTCTAGTACTTGGTATATAGTAAGTACTCAATAAAGGCTAGTTATTAGTATTTTTAAAAATATTTTGGCCATGTAGCATGCAGAATCTTAGTTCCCTGACTAAGAATCGAACCCCAGGCCCCCTATAGTGGAAGCTTGAGAGCATAAGCACTAAAGCACCATAGTTATAATAGCATAATAGCTAGCACATAACATAATAATTAGCACATAGCATAATAACTAGAGCACTCGAGTTATTAACATATATTAATCAATAGTATGGCTC